GCGTTATAATTGATAAATTTGTTATACAGTGATCAGTCTTATAATTTTGATGTGCTACATTGTTATTCAGCAAGCCTTGGCCTAGTAATGTTTGACATTCATACTCCTCTAAACCCACAAATGTCATCCATGCAGAGATGGCGCTCCTGTTTACATCACACACACATAAATATTATATAAGCATTATATCTCCGGCCTGTTTCATAATCACAGTCATTAATACTGAATATTCTATCTAAAAATATAAATTTTAAATGAATATATATATATATATATATATATATATATATATATATATATATATATATATATATATATATATATATATATATATATATATATATATATATATATATATATATATATATATATATATATATATATATATATATATATATATATATATATATATATATATATATATATATATATATATATATATATATATATATATATATATATATACTCAAAATATTTTAGAATTGCAGTCATGTACTGAATATTTTATGTAAAAAATATAAATTTTAAATGAATTATTTATAGTGTGGTCGACTTCCTACACAAAGACAGGCTATAAATAGCCTTCTTATCTCCTCTCCATCTATTACCCTCTGTTCTCAGAGAGAAGGTCTTGGTAAATAACTTTTGTTTGTTTATTTTCATTGTTTGTCTAATTTATCATGTTGTATCAAAGTAATATTACTAAAAATTGTAAGCAGCTACCAAACAGGGAGATACTACCACCTGGGAAGATATTGGAAGCATAATGTACAGTATTGTCTAATGGTAGATCCTACTTCCATATGGCATCACGAAAATTGTGACCAAGTCTTAGGTTGCTGATCTATCTTTCTGCCTCATTTACACACAATTGCAGAGTTTCGATTGTTTCTCTTCCTTTGACAAGACAACATACATACAATATAATGTTTCTCACCTTTGATCTTTTTTCCTTTTTGCATTTATTTATGGTTGGTTATTTAAAATAAGGCCAATTCACTTAAAGTATTGGCATCAAATTTTACCGGCTGGTGTACACTAGTGACTCACTTAAGCGTCAGTTATTTAACTGGAACTAATGTCGGTGTGAGTAAAATATTTCCATTTACTTGAAATAGATTTGCCGATTTATTTGTTTATTTATTTATTTATAATATACTGTAATATATTAAACACACTGCAAGTATTTTCTTTAATTTATATACTTGTTTCGCAAAAAAGGGAGGCTACCATTATACCTGGTAGGTGAAGTTGACCAGACATTTATGGTGATCATTAAGGACCAAACTCCGAATCCATGACGTGACTTCTGTTCATCATTTATATCCTAAATTTACCACTGTCTATAGTTTCAAGAATTAACGCAGTCATTTACTGAATATTCTTTGTAAAAAAATAAATTTTAAATGAATTATTTATAGTAGATAAGTATTATCATCAGTAAATATACAGATATGCATTACCGACCACCTCCAAACACAAGGACGGCTAAAAATAGCCACAGGCGGTCACAGTCAAGGTCACTTTCCCTTTCTTGTCACTGGCAAATGGGGGGGTGGTGATGATAGCAGCTGTGTTTATTACGGGGGTATATTGTTCTTTTACGGTATGTTAAACAGGTTTATAATACATTTTTATTATTTTAATATACTGGAAATCTTCATTTTAATCCAGCTTCCCAAACGTAAGTTTCAGTATAAAATAATTAGTGGTAGGACCTTATGAGTGGTTTACGATGTTTCCATCACCACTCTTGACACGCTAAACCGCAATATTCAAGAGGTAAGAATTTTATATCTGGTGCTTAAGACGACCCCCTAACTTTGGGCTGATTTTTTTATGGTTCAAATTCCGTATTATAGGCCGAGATATACAGTACTGAAGATATTAGTTTTAGCTCATAAAGTTCATACAAATTGTCTGGCCAGAATATAATTTACATTGCTAGAATTCTTATAAGATTGTGATTATTTTAAATATAAACATCATGGAATTTGCATTGGACATACAAATTTTAGATCTAATGTAAGAATTTTGATTACAAAGAGCAAAATTTTATCTTTTGTGCAAAATATACGACATTTATATTCAAAATATTCCTGGTCTTGCAAGGAATCCAGCAATGTCAATTATATTATCCTAACTTTAGTCTGAGGTATTATTTATTACTAAAAATGTAAATATACTGTTTTAACCCAAACATTTCTCTGGTAGGGAGGGAAGGTGGGGGGTGGGGAGGGACCCAGCGAGCGTGGGAAGAGGGGGGGGGGAGCCGGAGGTGGGGTATTTTGATTGACAGATAGTTTCTGGGTCAAGTATAATTTGTTTATTTATTGAAGATATTTGTTTTAGCTAATAAAACTCATACAAATTACCCGGCCAGAATATAATTTACATTGCTGGAATTCTTATAAGATTGTGATTACCGTATATACTCGTGTATAGTTCGAGTTTTTAAGACCAAATTTTTAGGGAAAAAATTGGGGGTCGTCCTATACATGCGTAATAGTTTTGTTAGGTTGAACCCGTGCATGATGGGAAGGGCGAGGAGCAACTTTTAGCTTCAGACATGAAAAATATTTACCATTTACTGCCAGTAAACAATGGAAACGTAAAATATGTACCAATTAGTAATGAAAAGTTGTGCAGTTCCTTCAGTAAATGAAGCTCACCAACTTACAATAGGCTAAATTACCTTACAATGTGCTTTCAGTAGTCTATGTTGAAGTTCTTAGCACAGGCTAACTTATCATATATACGGTATCACAGTTCTCATTGATCTACAAAAAATACCGGTAATAAAAACCTTTTCGATATTTCACACTTAATATAATACCCGGTAATCTACTTCAACCTCCTATTGTTTACAACGACGCATCACGCACCACCAGCTGTATCAGCTAGACGGTACACGTGTTTTTCGAATCGTTTTCAGTTAAAAAACTGTTACATCACATGTATAATTTACCTTAACTGTGCCTGAATGAATATGTTCTCGGAAATAAATAGTAGTTTTGATGAAACGTGATGTATTTTAATGTAAAATAGGATAAAATACATGACGAAAACAAAAGACTTTACCTAAGCTTCTGTTCTTGAGATGTTACTCGTTTTTTTAATAGTTTTCGGTTAAAATTCTGTTATATTACAATGATATTCTATTCATACTGTGCTTGTTATAATACATTCACGGAAATGTAATATTTTTGCTGAAATGACGTACGTATTACAGTGGAAAGTGGGATAAAATTGTGACGAAAACAATGACTTTCGCGTTCTTTCGTTCAAAAGATGTTACCGTAATCGCTTTTTGAATGGTTTTCAGTTAAAAAACTGTTGTATTACGATAATATTCTATCCTAATTGACTTGAATAAATACTACGATACCATATTTCTGAATATTTTCATTAAAATCCATCAAAATCATTTTCCTTGTCATCGTCTGCAGCACCAAACAGCTTCTCCCAGTCCTCTCCTTGAACAGGGCTAGAGGGTACGTGTTTTTCGAATCGTTTTCAGTTAAAAACTATTACATCACACGTATATTTTACCTAAACTGCGCCTGAATGAATATATTCTCGGAAATAAAAGTAGTTTTGCTGAAACGTGATATATTTCAATGTAAAATAGGATAAAATATATGACGAAAACAAAAGACTTTACCTAAGCTTCTGTTCTTCAGATGTTACTCGTTTTTATAATAGTTTTCGGTTAAAATTAAAATTCTGTTATATTACAATGATATTCTATTCATACTGTGCTTGATATAATACATTCACGGAAATGTAATATTTTTGCTGAAATTACGTACGTATTAAAGTGGAAAGTGGGATAAAATCGTGACGAAAACAATGACTTTCGCTTTCTTTCATTCAAAAGATGTTGTACCGTAATCGCTTTTCAAATGGTTTAGTTAAAAAACTGTTGTATTACAATAATATTCTATCCTAATTGACTTGAATAAATACTTGAATGGAAATATACAATATTTTTGTTGAAACTACCCGCGTTTCAGTGTAAAGTGTCGTAATAATAAATGGTAAACAATTTGCCTTCGGCATTCGTGTTTCATGCACGGCGAGCCTCAGTTTATAGGACGTAGAGCGTTTTTAGTGAAGGTTTTGTTGTTCCAATACCCTCAAAAACGTGGGTCGAACTATAAACGAGGAATATCGTAAATTGACGATTTCTTGGTCAAAAAATCAGGGTCGACCTATAAACGAGGGGGGGTTATAGACGAGTATATTCGGTATTTTAAAAATAAACATCATGGAATTTGCATTAGACATACAAATTTTAGATCTAATGTAAGAATTTTGATTACAAAGAGCCAAAATTGTATCTTTTGTGCAAAATATATGACGTTTATATACAAAATATTCCTGGTCTTGCAAGGAATCCAGCAATGTCAATTATATTATCCTTCTGAGGTATTATTTATAACTATACCTTAAAATCTAGTGTTTTCACCCAAACATTTCTCAGAGAGGGAGGAGCCAGGGAGCGTGGGAGGGGGGGGCCGGGAGTTGAGTCCATTATTTGAATGGACATTAACCTGGCGACTGTATTTCTCTTAAATATTAATTGTGTGTGCACACCATCATAAAATTAAGATGTTACTTTTACTACAACATAGGTATTGTGTTGGAAAAAGTGGAGTTTCAGAGTCGGCCCAGTCTCTATTTCAATTAATCCCATATGTTCTGATATTTCATTTACGCGCCACTCCGCGGGTTCAATTGACCGCGTAAATCAGGGGACCACTGTACTCAAACTTTAGTGTTTTTGTGTGAAATGGCCCCTAAAAGACTGCCTAATGTCAGTGAAAGTGATGTTAGTGGAGTGAAACATTTTCAGACCTCAAAACCAAAAGGAAACAACTACCAATCACAATGTTTTTCAAGAAAGAACCAGCCGCTCCCAGCTGATTTGTCTCCCTCATCTACTCAGTCAGCTGCTGCCACTCCACCACCCACCTCCCTGCCACCCCACCACCCACCTCCCCGACACGTGCCTCTCCACTAACCACCTCTACATCACCCTCTTCCAACAGTGAACCTGAAGATCTCCCTATGCTTCTGTAAACAGATTTCAGTTTTCCATACAGTACATTCCAAAAAGCTCCAAACTTCCACATACAAAGGAGAGTAGCATTGGTGACTTAAGTTTCTCATCCACAGTATAGGTATATATTAGTGCACTAAGGTCATATAAGTCGCTATTTGCGGTTTTGCCAATTCACACCATTCCTTGGAACCTAATCCCTGCGAATAGGAAGGCTTTACACTGTTAATGACAAAATTATCATTTCCTTAGTAGGACTATTTATATCATGGAATAATGTACAAACAGATAAGTCAACACAAAATACCAACACAACTAGACGTCTTGGTGCTCAAGTGCTGTCTCACGTAGTAGTTCTAAATAAGTTAGACAGCAGTTTTTACCAAAACACTCCTGAATAGTTTATCTAAAAGCTTGGTTAAATAAATATATTTAAAAAACAAAACATGTTTAGGGCCACACACACAAGTGACTGGGGATAGGTTATAATATTGAATATGACACGGTAAGAGAAAATCTGGAAAAGAGTATTTGCAATTTTGTTCTTTTGTGGTAATATCAGTAACATAACCCCTGCAAAAAACAAGGGACCACTGTATTCACTACTCCACACCTCTGCACTCTAGTTACTGACACCTTGTCAGAATGTAACCATTCTGTAACTAGAAGTATGTCTGTATTGTAGATATCTGACATTTTAGTTTCAATGTCCCAAGGTCTATTGCTCACATTATAACTTACTCCTAGTTTGCAAAATTTACATGTTCACAAAATGGTCACTCCCAAAGGTGAGTGAACTAGTGCCTACTATTCACAAACTTTTCATCAATTTCATAAGTCATATCAATCTTACGTACTCATCATAATTTAATTAAAGCCCTCTTAAAACTACAATTTTCTATGCATTTCCTAACTTATAGAATCATCATATCTTACCTCTTTGTGGCATCCTGGCACCAAAGAGCTCTCAAAGCAGCATCTCTTTTTCCATTAGCAATCTCCAAATGCAACAGTAAACACCAATGGCGGAAGTAGTCCAAGTGAATCTGGAAGAGTGATTAATTTATGTAATTTTTGCTCAAAGCTAAGCACTGAGCTAATAGGACATTCAGCAATGTGTGACAATTAGGGGATACTGTATCCCTTATATCACATGTGAATCTGAAAGAGAATGCAATCACAAACATTATTGCAACTGTACCATGTAACATTTCTGTAAAATTCAAATATTTTATGAGGTTTTTAAATCAATATTAAATATAATAGAACACAATATCCACTCACTCCTGTGTAAGGACAATAAAAGGCATCAGAAGAGTCTTCCAAAAATTTTTGATCAGTACAAGAAAGCAATTCCTGCTATGAATTAGGAACATAACATGATCCTAGCCAGATGACCTTGCAGAGTCATGGAAAAGTCATATTAAATGCCACTTCATCAGCCCTTCAGAATATTGACTAAGTTTTGTTCAGAGACATTCCGAGATGGTTTGGGTATATGGGAAATGCCGGTATAATGTTGTTGTTGATGAAAACTAGGGAAGCCTACACACACAGAGAGAGAGAGAGAGAGAGAGAGAGAGAGAGAGACAGAGAGAGAGAGAGAGAGACAGAGAGAGAGAGACAGAGAGAGAGAGAGAGAGAGAGAGACAGAGGAGCAGAGACAGAGAGAGAGAGAGAGAGAGAGAGAGAGAGAGAGAGAGAGAGAGAGAGAGAGACAGAGAGAGAGACAGAGAGAGAGAGAGAGAGAGACAGAGACAGAGAGAGAGAGAGAGACAGAGAGAGAGAGAGAGAGAGACAGAGAGAGAGAGAGAGAGAGACAGAGAGAGAGACAGAGAGAGAGAGAGAGAGACAGAGAGAGAGAGAGAGAGAGAGAGAGAGAGAGAGAGAGACAGAGACAGAGACAGAGAGAGAGAGAGAGAGAGAGAGAGAGAGAGACGCTTTGTTGTGTGCATCAGCTGATCGGCTAGTCCGCCAATACAGTAATTGGTTCTGTTTACATTCGTTTCCAGTGGAATAAATATCAAGAAAGTTGTGCTCTTGAATATTTCTGCATTTTTTTATATTAAAATTATTGCTCATTCTAATTTAGTTAACATATTGATAATATACAGTGCAGAAATTATTATGAAACACGAAGAAGGCATTAGAAACAATGCACTCTGTAAAGAATATGGCATGACATCATCTACAATCAGCTGTTTGATATGTAAACAAAGCTGCTGGGAATAAGACATACACACCTCAAAGTAAGTACAGTCTCTCCTCAACTTACGACGGGGTTCCGTCCCAACGACCAGGTCGTAAGTCGAATTGGTCATAAGTCGAAAAGGCAAAAATAATACATAGAAATTCTAAAATGGGTGTCTCTTGTTCTTCTCAGCACCACGAGAACTCTCACTTTTACATTTGCCAGCCATTCTAAAGGCAATTACAAACAAAAATTTTGTCAGTAGACAGCGTGATCACCAGCGTACGGACTCGAAAATACGTAATGTGAAAAATATTTTATACAACCATGGCCGTCGTATGTCCGGGTTGTCGTAAGTCGAGGAGAGACTATTGTTTATTAATGGTATACAGTACTTTGTATGTACCTTTTCTGTGAGTTGGAACCAATTACCCAGTATCCCATTGAAATTCAACTTTTCACATATCCGTTGAGACATTGTTACACAACTATTTGACAAATTTCATAACCGAATGACAACACATATCAAATGACAATCTAAAATAACTGTTGGTGGTATGTCATTCTCCAATTGTTACATTTCAAACTATATGTAGACTGTCGGTTTATTGTTCATGTCTGTCAACTTCATAACTTATGTCAATCACTTCCTTTAGCATGAACAAACAGTTATTTTAGATTGATCATTCGATATGTGTTCTGTCAATCGGTTATGAAATTTGTCAAATAGTTATGTAAAAATGTGTTCATTAATCGAGGGACCACTGTAATACAGTAGAAATCCAAAAATCCGGACTGCTTGGGGATTGGGTCGGTCCGGATTTTTGGATTTTCCGGATGCTCAGGCAGTACTTTTAAAATTCAAATTTAAGGAGGAATAAAGAAGAGATCAACAGGTACATTTTGATAGTTTATTCATTAGCAAATATAACATGCTTCATTGATCAAAACGAGCAATTTTAAAGAAAAAGATGTGAATTCTAGAATTTTATTCTTTGCCTTTTTTTCTATCATAAATTGTAGACTCTCCAATGTCGTATGTTTCCATAAGAACAGTATTGTTCACACCACGTTCTATTTTCTTAATTATTTCAAGTTTGTCACTCAGTTTCAACGTGTTCTTCTTTCTCTTCACACAGTACAGTACAGTACAGTCAGCCCTTAACATTCGCGGGGGTTAGGTAACAGAGATACCCGTGAATGTTAAAAATCCGTGTACTATTGCTGCCCCCCCCCCCTAAAAAATCCCTGGCCCCCCATGTCCTTATTTACCGTATATACCAAATTATTTGGCAAAAATTGGGGGTCGACCTCTAAACGGGTAATAGTTTCGTTAGGTTGAAAAATATTTACCAGTAACTACCAGTAAACAATGGAAATGATGCACCAACACACCACCAGCTGTGAGTGTCGGTACAGTTGCCAGGGCAGATCTCTTGCGAGCCCAAAGTAGCCAAATCCATGGTATGGTAGCACAGGACGATGTAAAACAAAGTATTCATTTATTAAAGTTAATTTATAGATACTGGACATAAATTTTTGTTCATTACATTTGAAACATCAATCTTTGTTAATTAAATTTGAAACAAGAGAAAACTACGATACTGGATTTTCATTAAAATATTACATCACAAGTATATTTTACCTTAACTGTGACTGAATGAATATATTCTCGGAAATAAATATGGAAATGTAATATTTTTGCTGGAATGACGTACATATTATAGTGGGAAGTGGGATAAAATCATGACGAAAGACTTTCGCTTTCTTTCGTTGTTCAAAATATTTTACCGTAATCGCTTTTCGAATGGTTTTCAGTTAAAAAACTGTTGTACTCGTACTGTATTACAATAATATTCTATCCTATCATTAGCCTTATAATCCCACAACTGAAAACCATTCGAAAAGCGATTACGGTAACATCTTTTGAACGAAAGAAAGCGAAAGTCATTGCTTTCGTCACTTTCCACTGTAATACGTACATCATTTCAGCAAAAATATTACGTTTCCATGTTCTCAGAAATAAATGGTAGTTTTGTTGAAATGTAATGTACAGTATTTAACATTAAAAGCCAGCTATAAAAAAAAAAAAAAAAAAAAAAATTTGAAAAGTCCGGATTCTCGGGTGGTCCGGATTTCTGGCATCCGGATTTTTGGACTTTTACTGTACAGTGTTATTACTAAGAGTCCTGTTAGTATGAAAGAGATAACACCTCGGGTAACCTGTGCTCAAGTGTGTTACATGTAAGATTACAGTATTACCCCACTTTACGCGGTTTCACTTTCCACAATTTCTCACTTACGCGGTACCTTGCCAGAACCGGACTTTCACTTTCAGCAGTGCATCTACTCATATACGCGGGGGAAGTATAATTTTTTTTTTTTTTATTTAGCTCATAAAATTCATACAAATTACCAGGCCAGAATATAATTTACATTGCTGGAATTCTTACAATATGATGATCATTTTGAATATAAACATGGATTTTGCATTAGACATACAAATTTTAGATCTAATGTATGAATTTTGTTTACACAGAGCAAATATGTTATCTTTTGTGCAAAATATATGACGTGTATATTCAAAATATTCCCTGACCTGCAAGGAATCCAGAAATGTCAATTATATTATCCTAACTTTAGTCTGAGATATTATTTATTACTAAAAGTTAAAATCTAGTATTTTCACCCACACATTTCTCTGGTAGGGAGGGAAGGTGGGGGGTGGGGGGGAGGGTTGGGACCAACAGACCCAGCTGGCATGAGTGTGAGGAGGAGGGGGAGGCAAGGTGGGGTACTTTGATTGACAAATAGTGTTGTGAAGAATATTTTTTTTTTATTAACTAAAGATATTTCTTTTAGCTCATAAAATTCATACACATTACTCGACCAGAATATAATTTACATTGCTGGAATTCTTACAATATGATGATCATTTTGAATATAAACATCAAGGATTTTGCATTAGACATACAAATTTTAGATCTAATGTAATAATTTGGTTTACATAATGCAAATATTTTATCTTTTGTGGAAAATATATGAAGTTTACATTCAAAATATTCCCTGACCTGCAAGGAATCCAGAAATGTCAATTATATTATCCTAACTTTAGTCTGAGGTATTATTTATTACTAAATGTTAAAACCTAGTATTTTCACCTAATCATTTCTCAGAGGGGTAGGAGCTAGTGAGCTGGGAAGAGGGGGGGGGGATTTGAGTCCATTATTTGAATGGACATTAACCTGGCGACTGTATTTCTCTTAAATATTAATTGTGTGAGCATACCATCATAAAATTTAGATGTTACAGTATTTTTACTACAACATAGGTATTGTGTCGGAAAAAGTGGAGTGTGGGAGTCGGGCCAGTCTATATTGGAATTAAACCCATATGTTCTGTTGTTCACTTTACGAGGTTTTCACTTTCCGCGGTACCCTGTGGGTTCAATTGACCGCGTAAATCGGGGTACTACCGTATTTACATTTTTAGTAATAAATAATACCTCAGACTAAAGTTAGGATAATATAATTGACATTTCTGGATTCCTTGCAGGTCAGGGAATATTTTGAATGTAAACATCATATATTTTGCACAAAAGATGAAATATTTGCTTTGTGTAAACCAAATTATTACATTAGATGTAAAATTTGTATGTCTAATGCAAAATCCATGATGTTTATATTCAAAATGATCATCATATTGTAAGAATTCCAGCAATGTAAATTATATTCTGGCCTGGAAATTTGTATGAATTTTATGTGCTAAATAAAAAATTATACTTCACCCGCGTATATGAGTAGATGCACCGCGGAAAGTGAAAATTCGGTTCTGGCGAGGTACCGCGTAAATCAG